TTGACAGATTTGGATGCCACATTGTTCCAGAGGCCAAACCATTGACAAAAATACAAACCTTTTGAAAATCGGATGAGATTTGACCGATTTATGGGAGTGTAAGGTTTGGCCTATATCTATATAAGATAAATATCCTAAATATCCTATCCTATCCTACCCTCAAATGAGGGTACAATTTTCACATGAATTTGGACCAGGAATCGGGTTGACAGATTTGGATGCCACATTGTTCCAGAGGCCAAACCATTGACAAAAAGACAAACCTTTTGAAAATCGGATGAGATTTGACCGATTTATGGGAGTGTAAGGTTTGGCCTATATCTATATAGGATAAATATCCTAAATATCCTATCCTATCCTACCTTCAAATGAGGGCACAATTTTCACATGAATTTGGACCAGGAATCGGGTTGCCAGATTTGGATGCCACATTGTTCTAGAGGCCAAACCATTGACAAAAAGACAAACCTTTTGAAAATCGGATGAGATTTGACCGAGTTATGGGAGTGTAAAGTTTGGCCTATATCTATATAGGATATTTGAGGGTACAATTTGCACATGGATTTGGACCAGGAATCGGGTTGCCAGATTTGGATGCTTCATTGTTCTAGAGGCCAAACCATTGACAAAAAGACAAACCTTTTGAATATCGGATGAAATTTGACCGAGTTATGGGGGTGTAAAGTTTGGCCTATATCTATAGAGGATAGTTGAGGGTACACTTTTCACATGAATTTCGACCAGGAATCGGGTTGCCAGATTTGGATGCCACATTGTTATAGAGTCCAAACCATTGACAAAAAGACAAACCTTTTGAAAATCGGATGAAATTTGACCGAGTTATGGGGGTGTAAAGTTTGGCCTATATCTATAGAGGATAGTTGAGGGTACACTTTTCACATGAATTTCGACCAGGAATCGGGTTGCCAGATTTGGATGCCACATTGTTATAGAGTCCAAACCATTGACAAAAAGACAAACCTTTTGAAAATCGGATGAGATTTGACCGATTTATGGGAGTGTAAGGTTTGGCCTATATCTATATAGGATAAATATCCTAAATATCCTATACTATCCTACCCTCAAATGAGGATTCAATTTTCACATGAATTTGGACCAGGAATCGGGTTGCCAGATTTGGACGCCACATTGTTCTAGAGGCCAAACCATTGACAAAAAGACAAACCTTTTGCAAATCGGATGAAATTTGACCGAGTTATGGGGGTGTAAAGTTTTTGCTATATCTATATAGGATAGTTGAGGGTACAATTTTCACATGAATTTCGACCAGGAATCGGGTTGCCAGATTTGGATGCCACATTGTTATAGAGTCCAAACCATTGACAAAGAGACAAACCTTTTGAATATCGGATGAGATCTGATTGAGTTATGGGAGTGTAAAGTTTGGCCTATATCTATATAGGATAGTTGAGGGTACAATTTTCACATGAATTTCGACCAGAAATCCGGTTGCCAGATTTGGATGCCACATTGTTCTAGAGGCCAAACCATTGACAAAAAGACAAACCTTTTGAAAATCGGATGAGATTTGACCGAGTTATGGAGGTGTAACGTTTGGCCTATATCTATATAGGATATTTGAGGGTACAATTTTCACATGAATTTCGACCAGGAATCGGGTTGCCAGATTTGGATGCCACATTGTTATAGAGTCCAAACCATTGACAAAAAGACAAACCTTTTGAAAATCGGATGAGATTTGACCGAGTTATGGGAGTGTAAAATTTGGCCTATATCTATATAGGATATTTGAGGGTACAATTTGCACATGGATTTGGACCAGGAATCGGGTTGCCAGATTTGGATGCTACATTGTTATAGAGGCCAAACCATTGACAAAAAGACAAACCTTTTGAATATCGGATGAAATTTGACCGAGTTATGGGGGTGTAAAGTTTGGCCTATATCAATATAGGATAGTTGAGGGTACAATTTTCACATGAATTTCGACCAGAAATCGGGTTGCCAGATTTGGATGCCACATTGTTCTAGAGTCCAAACCATTGACAAAAAGACAAACCTTTTGAAAATCGGATGAGATTTGACCGAGTTATGGGAGTGTAAAATTTGGCCTATATCTATATAGGATATTTGAGGGTACAATTTGCACATGGATTTGGACCAGGAATCGGGTTGCCAGATTTGGATGCTACATTGTTATAGAGGGCAAACCATTGACAAAAAGACAAACCTTTTGAATATCGGATGAAATTTGACCGAGTTATGGGGGTGTAAAGTTTGGCCTATATCAATATAGGATAGTTGAGGGTACAATTTTCACATGAATTTCGACCAGAAATCCGGTTGCCAGATTTGGATGCCACATTGTTCTAGAGGCCAAACCATTGACAAAAAGACAAACCTTTTGAAAATCGGATGAGATTTGACCGATTTATGGGAGTGTAAGGTTTGGCCTATATCTATATAGGATAAATATCCTAAATATCCTATCCTATCCTACCCTCAAATGAGGGTACAATTTTCACATGAATTTCGACCAGGAATCGGGTTGCCAGATTTGGATGCCACATTGTTATAGAGTCCAAACCATTGACAAAGAGACAAACCTTTTGAATATCGGATGAGATCTGATCGAGTTATGGGAGTGTAAAGTTTGGCCTATATCTATATAGGATATTTGAGGGCACAATTTTCAGATGAATTTGGACCAGGAATCGGGTTGCCAGATTTGGATGCCACATTGTTCTAGAGGCCAAACCATTGACAAAAAGACAAACCTTTTGAAAATCGGATGAGATTTGACCGATTTATGGGAGTGTAAGGTTTGGCCTATATCTATATAGGATAAATATCCTAAATATCCTATCCTATCCTACCCTCAAATGAGGGTACAATTTTCACATGAATTTCGACCAGGAATCGGGTTGCCAGATTTGGATGCCACATTGTTATAGAGTCCAAACCATTGACAAAGAGACAAACCTTTTGAATATCGGATGAGATCTGATCGAGTTATGGGAGTGTAAAGTTTGGCCTATATCTATATAGGATATTTGAGGGCACAATTTTCAGATGAATTTGGACCAGGAATCGGGTTGCCAGATTTGGATGCCACATTGTTCTAGAGGCCAAACCATTGACAAAAAGACAAACCTTTTGAATATCGGATGAGATCTGATCGAGTTATGGGAGTGTAAAGTTTGGCCTATATCTATATAGGATAGTTTAGGGTACAATTTTCACATGAATTTCGACCAGGAATCGGGTTGCCAGATTTGGATGCCACATTGTTATAGAGTCCAAACCATTGACAAAGAGACAAACCTTTTGAATATCGGATGAGATCTGATCGAGTTATGGGAGTGTAAAGTTTGGCCTATATCTATATAGGATATTTGAGGGCACAATTTTCAGATGAATTTGGACCAGGAATCGGGTTGCCAGATTTGGATGCCACATTGTTCTAGAGGCCAAACCATTGACAAAAAGACAAACCTTTTGAAAATCGGATGAGATTTGACCGAGTTATGGGAGTGTAAAGTTTGGCCTATATCTATATAGGATAGTTGAGGGTACAATTTTCACATAAATTTCGACCAGGAATCGGGTTGCCAGATTTGGATGCCACATTGTTATAGAGTCCAAACCATTGACAAAAAGACAAACCTTTTGAAAATCGGATGAGATTTGACGGAGTTATGGTAGTGTAAAGTTTGGCCTATATCTATAAAGGATATTTGAGGGTACAATTTTCACATGAATTTGGACTAGGAATCGGGTTGCCAGATTTGGATACCACATTGTTCTAGAGGCCAAACAATTGACAAAAACACAAACCTTTTGAAAATCGGATGAGATTTGACCGAGTTATGGGAGTGTAAAGTTTGGCCTATATCAATATAGGATATTTGAGGGTACAATTTTCACATGAATTTCGACCAGCAATCGGGTTGCCAGATTTGGATGCCACATTGTTCTAGAGGTTAAACCATTGACAAAAAGACAAACCTTTTGAAAATAGGATGAAATTTGACCGAGTTATGGGAGTGGAATGTTTGGCACATGTCTATATAGAATATTTGACGGTGCACTTTTCACATGAATTTCGACCAAGAATCGGATTGCTAGATTTCGATGCCAAATTGTTCGCGAGGCCAAACTATTGACAAAAAGACGAACCTCTTAAAAATCGGTTGAGATTTGACCGAGCTATAGTGTTAGGAAGTTTGACCTATGTCTATATATAATATTTTAAGGTAACATTGAATGAATCAAATTCGACGATCATGTTGCCCAGGATAAATAGTTTAGATATTATATGTACATGTATATTTGTTAAGACACAAAATTATTAAAAACGAGAAAGAATGGCTATCTTTGGCACGCCAAAGATCTAATACCCTTGCAGACCCAACCTTTTCATAATGATCATAGTGCTTTGCCCCTATCTAAGAAGTACCGGGAAAATAGTAACTGCCGAGTTTGGTCAAGATATCTTGATAAACAAAATGTTTTTTCATACAACTTAATTTTCGACCGAACGTTCCTATGGCAGCTATATGACATAGTGGTCCGATCTTATTAGGATTTTGCATATATATGAGGAGTAAAGTAAAACTAATAAGTGCCGAGTTTGGTCAAGATATCTTGATAAACAAAATGTTTTTTCATACAAAAACTTAATTTTCGACCGATCGTTCCTATGGCAGCTATATGATATAGTGGTTTTCACATATGTGCTGCGTGCAACAGAAAGAGGGAGTTCTGCAAAGTTTCATTAAGATAGCTTTAAAACTGAGGGACTAGTTCGCATAGAAACAGACAGACGGACAGACGGACATGACTATATCGATTCGGCTGTTGATGCTGATTAAGAATATATATACTTTATGGGGTCGGAGTATAATACCCTCTGCAAGAGTATAAAAAAGGGCGTTTATTTTAGAATCTTCATCTAAAAGACAATTTTTAATGAACATTATTATTATAATAATATATAAATTATTTTGTGTACTTACCTTAATGATGCCAATAAAACCACTTGTTGTTGTCGATGTAATCAATTTGTAAATTTCTGTTACATAACAAATGTACTTGTTGGTCCAGCAGTTGTCACTACTCTTTACTCTTCTTATTGGTATTGTTGCTGTAATGCCATCTCACTTTCTCTCACTTGTATGTTGCTTAAATTCTTTTAATCGCTAAATGCACATTAATACGTTACCCCTAGCACGAAAACCTTGCAGCTTCAACTGAAGCCCAAATGCAAAGCGCTGCTCTATTTATACTGATCTCTTCTTCTTTCAATCGTACTTGTTGATCCAGCAGTTGTCATTACTCTTCACTCTTCATATTAGTAGTATTCCTGCAGTGCCATCTCGCTTCCTCTTGCATGTGATCTGCTTACATTCTATTAGACGTGTACTTGCACATAAATACGCAGCCCTTAGCCGGGCCTTCTTGCAGCGTCAACTGAAGTTTAACTGCAAAGCGCTGCTCTATTTATACTATTGACTCTTCTTCTTTCAATCGTGAAGCTCAAATGCCCAGCGCTCTCGTTAAAAAAAATTTTGTCTTCTGCTGCATGCAATTCCATATTAATAAGCAGCCCCTCGCCGGCACGCCTTGAAGCTTTAACTGAAGTCCAATCGCACAGCATTGCTCTATTTATACTGTCCACTCTTCTTCTTTCAATCGTACTTGTTGATCCAGCAGTTGTCATTACTCCTCACTCTTCATATTATTATTGTTCCTACATTGCCATCTCGCTTCCTCTCACATACGATCTGCTCACATGCCTTCAAACACGTAAATGCATATTTATACGCGACCCCTAGCAAGGCCACCTTGCAGATTCCACTGGAATCCAATTTCAAAGTGGTGCTCTATTTATACTGTTGACTCTCCTTCTTTCCACCGCAGTTTTTGATCCAGTAGTTGGCATTACTCCTTACTCTTATTAGTATTGTTGCTGAATCGTTTTCTCTTACATGTGGTCTGCTCACATTCTTTTAAATGCGTAAATGCATATTAATACGCAGCCCTTAGCTAGGTCACCTTGCTGCTTCAACTGAAGTCCAAATGCAAAGCGCTGTTCTATTTATACTGTTGACTCTTCTTCTTTCAATCGTACTCGATGATCCAACAGTAGTCATTACTCCTCACTCTTCTTTTTTAATTGTTCCTGCACTGCCATCTCCCTTCCTCTCACTTGTGATCTGCTTCCATTCCGTTAAACACTTAAATGCACATTAATACGTAAACCTTGGCACGGCCGCCTTGCAGCTTCTACTGAAGTCCACCCGCAAAGCGCAGCTCTTTTTATACTGTTGACTCTTCTTCTTTAAGTGGTGAAAAAATGTTGTCTGATCTCTTCTGCAACTATCATCATCTCACTCGCTCTTACATCACTGCTTATCTAAAGTTTCGGTAATTTCTTGTTTGATTAATTGTGATTTCTTTAGACCAAAGTAGTTGCGCCTCTTCAATTTTATGGCTTGGGTATTCAAATTCTTAATTTTTTCGCAAAATTAAAGCTTCAACTGGAAATAGGAATATATTAATTACGGTATGCCTTGTAAAGGCATAAGTTGAAATATATAAGTATATAAGTAATATTAAAGTAATAAGTACGAGTAAATTTATATGGTGTTAGCGAATACCATAGGACACCAAATTTAAAAAGGCCATGAAGATATGACAATATTCATTTCGGACTATGTCTGTATGGGATATTTAAGGGTACCATTTTTATATGAATTTTGACAGAACTAAATGCCAAATAGATTTAGAGGCTTTACCATGAAACCATGTCTTAAATAATTTTTCATATATACCTTTGGAAAATAATTCGGAAACATGAGCCACCAAATCTTTGACGCCGATTTCCACAAAGGAGCAATGCAGTTTTCGAAATGAATTTGAACATAGACCTTTGAAATTGAGTTTAAGGGCGATCGGACGGTGAACAAAAAAGTTCCATAAACACGTTTATCGCGATTTTTCAACACATGCAGGTGGAATTTCACGAAACCACAAATCACAAAAGGTGAGTGCAGTGAAAATTTCAGCTTCCTAGCTAGGGTTGGGGCAATCAGTAAGTTAGCCAGGAAAAATAGTTTTATACATAGAGATGTAAACATGTATACAATTAGATAGAGAGCGGAAGCAGCGAAAGATAGAACACAAGTTAGTTAGAGTGAGAGTATGATCGGGGATACAGTTTATTCAGTCAAAACGTGAAAGACAGTAGAAGACACTAGAATTCATCAGAATTGCGGAGAATGGTAATATATAACAAAATACTCTGTGCAGCGGTAAGTGAAATTGGCATTAGATAAAATATATATACATATTTATAGAGACACACACAGATCCACATACATTCATACACACACTGGGGAGATGTGTGTGTGCGCGTTAGTGCACCGCTGGCAGCAGGCATAAACCAAGAAAGTGACAGTGACACTGTATAAAGCCCGCCCCAGGGCAATCCATACAAATCCCGCTTATAGTGGGTAAACTATACGCAACTGCTGCCTCTGGCAGCCGGAGTGTTATACAAATTAACAATATTTTAACAAAAAAAATTACCGCGTGCAGTGCGTGAGAACAAGTTCTTGCAAAACTTAAGCTGCGCTCAGCTGATCGCAACTCAAGTGCGTGTGTGTGTGCGCGAGTGCAGCAAAGCTTTCGCGAGAGAGCTTTCAGCTTGCAGCTGCACTGATAGTGCTGGCAAAACAGTCACTGCAGTGACAGTGCTGACACTAAAGTCACAATTTGTGATCAATCACTTGTTACAAAAATACGGGTTATTTTTGTAATTAAGTGTAAAAAACTTGTTTTGTTTTTATTTTTTATTCTTTTTTCTCCCTGTGGGGAAAAAATTATAACAAAGTAAAGAACAATGGCTACAAACAACCGACCCCAAAATAACGAAGAAATTCATTCGCCAATCTACCCGCTGCCGAACAGCTCAATAATATCCCCTACAAATATAGCCGCTAATGTCGATCGCCTCGACGGAAGCAGGCCACTGGAAGATTTTTACCAATATTACAACAACGTGCTCGCCAGTAGTGCAAACCGGAACGGCGCCTCCACCTCGCTATCAGCCGGTACCCAGCAATGCTCGACTTGGCAACCGCAACAGCACGGCACTGTCAGCACAACGACAGCAACAACCACCACAACCACAGCGTCATCCAGCAGCGGCTGCAGGACATCTGCCTCAACAGGCACAAGCCGCGCCGCTTTAGAGCCCATCGGGACCCGCCCCAAAGCCGCCAATCCGACCTTGCAGTCCACCCCTTATGGCACCCAGGCAGCTGGTTCTTGTGTCACAAACCCCCCTCTGCCTCCCATAAAGAACGCAGGTGCTACGCTAGCCTTCGAAGAGCCACTGGTAGATTGGCAAACGGTTTCCGCAAAAAAACGGCGTGGGACTACATTATTATCCGAAGGCGTAAAAAAAGGGAAGCAACTAAATAACCGCAACACCAGCCGCGCTGGAGCTAAGCCCGCAACTCCCAGTACCGCTTCGGCAATTAGCAACAGATATGCCTCCCTTGAGCCTCAGGAAGACGCCTCTGTAATCGATGACGGCGAGATGGACACTGCCGACGAAGCGCCTCCAGTCACAGACCAACAACAATCAGCGAAAAAGATCTCCAAACCCAGGCCGATAACAGTCCCTGGAGTCAGCGATATTGTCGCAATGGAGCGAACCATAGATCAGGCAGTGGGCGCAGACGCCTATGAATTCAAGGTCTCTCCCTCTGGCTATCTAAGAATTTACGCCAAAGATGCCGACACCCACAGAGCAATTGTCCGCAAGCTCACTGAAGTGAGAGTGCAATTTACCCACTTCTGCCTAAAGGAAGACAGACCATACCGCGTTGTGGTTAAAAATCTGGCCGCTTCCACTCCCAGAAGCCAGATTGAAGCTGCCTTTACATCGCACGGCCATATTGTGACGAACCTTTACAACCCGGGCGCCAGACAGCCAACAAGTGATGCAGACTCCACCAACGACTTTCCAAGTCGCAACTTCTGGTTTGTCGATCTCAAGCAGTCTCTTAACAACAGGGAAGCGCTGCGGCTCAACAAGGTTGGCCGCCAACGGGTCACTATTGAGCTTCCGAGGAAGAACAATAGTATAAGGCAGTGTTTCCGCTGCTTCGAGTTCGACCACACCAAAAACTACTGTCTCAAACAGCCCAAGTGTGGTAGGTGCGGTCAGTCCCATTGGACAAACTCCGAGCAGTGCCAGGCCAAAACAGTGGCAGACCTGCGATGCTCCAACTGCGAGGGAAACCATGCTGCTTCCTATAAAGGTTGCAAAAGCTATCAGGTGAGACTAAATGCCAGGCAGCCGGCCATCAATGTCTCCCCTCCTACACGATATAGCCATCCTCAAAATACACGAAGAACCACTCAGCAGTTCGTACCTTCCCGAATTGTGCAACAGGGCCTGTCGTATGCTGATGCGCTACGGCCAGGCCATCATGTACAAGTCCGCCAACCCCCAGCGCGCACTCTTCAGCCCACCGTCAATCCAATGCAGCTCCAACAACCACTGCAAGGACCTCAGGAGCAAGACGCTTCCCTTGGAGGCATCCTTCAAAACCTCCAGCAGTCCATTGCAGCACTGAATGCCGCAGTTGCAACCATTCTGGTTAGCATTAAAGAGCTAAAGGATGCGCAAGGTTCCCCGCAGCTTAGATTCCCAAAAAGCCGCAAATAATGGCTACCCAGTTACGTCTCGGATCGTGGAACGCTCGTGGCATCCTCCAAAATGCTAACGAGCTCAAGCTTTTTCTGAAAAAGCATGATGTAGACATCATGCTCATCTCAGAAACACATCTGCACACAAACTTGTACCTAACAATGGAGGGGTACGTCTGCTACCGTGCGGATCACCCTACAGGACGAGCCAGAGGTGGTGCTGTAGTGCTGGCAAAGCAGGATTTAGCACACTACCATCTACACACAGTGACCTCCAGCGACACACAGCTGGCTGCTATCATGGTGGAGACTCCCTTGGGCGAAATCCTCGTTGCGGCAGCATACCTACCACCAAACATCCCCTGGAACCGAGCGGAATTTGATTCCCTGTTTGGCCAGCTTGGCCCCAAATTCATCGTTGGAGGCGACTTCAACGCTAAGCACAGACTGTGGGGAAACTACAGAGCTGACAGCAGAGGCACTGCGCTCCATGAGGCGCTCACTCCCTGCTCAGCCCAGGTACTGGCCACCGGTAGACCTACCCACTTTCCGTACAACCGGCAAAGTACGCCTTCCTGTATCGACTTTTTTATATTCAAGGGCATCCCCAACAGCGTACTATCGGTTCGCGAAGAGTATGATCTATCTTCCGACCATCTGCCACTCCTCACAACGATCAACACGGCTGCACAAAGGATCCCAAAAAAGCGCAGGCTTGTCCTCCCTGGGTCGAACATCCAACGATTTAAGGCCGAACTAAATAGCTTGATCAACCTAAACACGCAGATTCTGTCAGTTGAGGACGTCGACGCTGCAGTACAAACCCTGTTGGACCAAGTACATGCCGCAGCCGCCAACGCTGCGCCCGCACATATCTACTCAGCCCCTACAAGCCAGCGGCCAAGGACGTTTTCCCCCATATTGGAAGGTCTTCTCGCCCTAAAAAAGCGACTGAGGAGGGAGTATGTCCGTACCCAGGACCCCACGATTGACAGGATCTATCGTCGTATTGCTAACAGGGTCAGGAAGGAGCTGATTATCTCGAAAAGAAATGCCACAGACACCATGCTGGAGGAAGCAACGGCAGACGAGAGCTCCAAATTCGCGCTGTGGAAACTTAGCAGTCGATACAAGCGGCAAGCTGCGCCAAAGTTCCCCGTTCGACTTCCCGATGACACCTGGGCCAGATCACCAATGGACAGAGCCGAAGCCTTTGCCTGCAACTTGGAGGAGCGCTTCAAGCCGTTTGAGACCGCATCGCATGGAAGGATACAGCGAGTCGCGCAAATCCTGGAGGCGCCACTCCAAATGTCACTCCCTGTATCGCCAATCACCTTCCAAGAAGTAGAGCAGGAGATGAAGAGATTAAAAAGCAGCAAAGCCCCTGGGGAAGATCGGTTGGACAACCAGACAATCAAGCTACTGCCATACAAGGCGGTGCTTTTTCTCGTCGCCATTTTTAATGCAGCTCTTCGGCTAGGTTACTTTCCAGTGGCTTGGAAGAAGGCACATATAATCATGTTGCACAAGAGCGGAAAGCCCCCTAAT